GGATAGAAATAATATTTTTGTCTATGTATGGATAGAAATAATATTTTTGTCTATGTATGGATAGAAATAATATTTTTGTCTATGTATGGATAGAAATAATATTTTTGTCTATGTATGGATAGAAATAATATTTTTGTCTATGTATGGATAGAAATTATATTTTCGTCTATGTATGGATAGAAATTATATTTTCGTCTATGTATGGATAGAAATATATTTTATCTATATATGGTTATAAATATATTTTATCTATAAATGGATATAAATTATATTTTTATCTCTATATGGAGATAGATATATTTTTATCTCTATATGGAGATAGATATATTTTTATCTCTATATGGATATAGATATATTTTTATCTCTATATGGATATAGATATATTTTTATCTCTATATGGATATAAATTATATTTTTATCAATTGTATGACAATAATTAGCCTCTGGGCCCACACTTTTCAGTGCCCCCAGGTGAGAGTTGTGCTTTGTGTGCCGCAGGTTTCCGAGCTGGTGACTCAGTACAAGAGGGAGCACCTGACGGTGTGGGGGAATGTCAATTATGAGATCGTGTCCAAGTGTTTCAAGGAGGTGAGACTGAGTCCAGCTGAGCTTTGCTCTTGCCTTAATCACGTTTTATTCTTGTTTTATCTAATAAAGGGCATTACAGGTTTATGCCGGGTATCCTTAGAGCCTGTTTTGCACATCATTCATCTGATAAAAGGCAATTTTTCTAAGGATTGCTTGTTTTCTGTTTCTTTTCATGAACATAATGGATGTGGCCACCAGTTGACAGAGTTGCATCAGTATAAGGCTGTTTTGCAGATGTAATTCTGTTCCTTCTTGTGCTGAGGAATTTAAAACTGTGCTTATTCCAGGGGGTTTCAAGTTGCCAGAAAGAGAAATTCAAGTTTGGTGGCAGGAATATGTATAGAGTTTCGTATATAAAGAGTTGGCAGCTGAATCTTTAGGTGCAGCTAATAAAAATTTTAAACATGCACTGATGATGTTCTGTTGTCTTGCTGGGATCATAAATGGCTTTTTAGTTCCTGAGCTGTTGTATTTGCAGTTCTGTGGTGGCAAAGAAAGATTTATATGCTTTAAAAAACACTTTATAATTTAAATCCCTCTAGGTTTGGGTTTGGGTTTTTTTTCCCATTTCAATTTGAAGCCTAAAATTTTAAACATGCAACGATGCATTAATTTCTTTGCAGCAGCCTGGACAATCTACCAAGATAACTGAGAATCTTTCTTTCCTGGTTCCTGCAGAACTCTGACATTGCCACCATCTTCTGTGCCCAGCGTGTCCTCCTGCTCCTTGGCCTCTTCTACACTGGCCTGCTGCCCTTCATTCCCTTCAAGGAGGAATTCTTTGAAATTCCAATGCCTTCCATCATCCTCAAGTGAGTCCCAGTCCCAGTGTAACCCAATTCCAAGTCACTGTCTTAGTCAGTGAAATTACTGCTCTAATTGGAGCAAGGGCAAGATTAATTCTGCATGTTCCTCTTGCAGGAACATCTCAAATCATATTTTAATCTGAGCTCTGATAATTTTATTTCTTCTTCCTCAACAGGCTGAAAGAACCACAGAAGATGTCAAGAAGCCAGAAATTCATTATCTGGTTGGCTGACACGTAAGATTTTCACCTGATTAAATTTTTATTTGTATTTTGCCTTTATATTAACAGTTGATTTAAGCAACTAAGACTAGCTGTTGCTGTAACTGTGTGTTATATTTTTAAAGGTTTTTCCAGCTTTTTGTCAGGATAAATCGTATTCAAATCTTATGCAGGTGTCCTGTATGCCTTTATTTTTCATACTCTGGAGCAGTGCAGTAACAGTGGGCATTATTCCAGCTGAGCCTGTTTAACTTCTGTTTTGAAGTGTGTTCAGCTGATTAACATGCAGTTAAATGCAGATTTCATGGATGTGACTGTTCCATAACGTTGTCAGGGTTGCCCTACAAGGAACACTTTGCATTTTAAGGATATCAGTGCTTCAGAGGGATCTTAGTCACGGGCTCTGAGGCTGCAGGGAGCGTCTCCTGGCTCTTGCTTCTGCCTCTGACACGTGTTAGTTTAATTTCTCAAGTGGCCACTGGAATTTTCGTGTCTTTTGGTGGGAAGGATAAAATCTCTTCCGAAAGCAAGAGGGTTGATTCATCAGATGTGGTACCAGGGGTGAAGGATTTGTCTGCTGGGTTTGAGCTTCAGCAGGTTGATAAAATAAGCAGAGCTAATGCAGATTTCTGGGTGTCACTATTAACCAGGCTGGAGCTGCTTGAACAGGAAGTTTTTCTGTAATGAGCTTTCTGTTCGCTTTCTCGTGGAAATATTTACAGAGCACCAACAGACATTGAAAATTTGATGTGTGTCTGAAGTTCTCTCTCTTTTCCCCAGGTTGCTAATGAGGAAAGCACTGTTTGACCACCTCACAGCTCGGGGCATTCAGGTACAGTGGGGCAAAGCTAAAGAAATGTGCTTTTAACCCAGTGAGAACTGATTAATTGTGGGTTCATGTTCTCCCCAACGTGTTCTCTTGTCTTGCTGGGATGATAAATGGCTTTTTAGTTCCTGTTGTGTTTGCAGTTCTGTGGTTGCAAAGAAAGATTGGTATGCTTGGAAAAAGGCTTTTTAATTTAAATCCTTCTAAGTTTGGTTGGTTTGGGTTTTTTTTTTCCCCATTTCAAATTGAAGCCTAAAAATCTGTTTATATACCTGTTGTGGAGTTTTCACAGAATATTATTTGACTTTTAGAAAGATCTAAAGTCTTGGTGAAATGGAATTGGAGCCACCACTAAAAACTGTCCCTCTTGGAAGGGACATTTGTTTATGTGGCATCATAAGGGAATAATTTATCATTTTAAATATATGTGGCATCATCTGTCTCACATGAAGCAACTGAGGTCAAAAGTCACCTTTAAAAAAAAAACCAACTTAGTATTTCCTGTAATAATTTGTTCTTCTATCCCTTTTTAGGTGTACATTTGGGTACTGAATGAAGAACAAGAATACAAGAGAGCATTTGACCTTGGAGCAACTGGAGTGATGACAGACTATCCCACAAAACTGAAGGAGTTTTTGCATAATTATCCAGCATAAAAGAAGAAAACTGAGGAAGTTCTTGCAGAATAGATTGTGAGCCAAGGATTTTCTTCATTAAAAAAAAAAAAAAAATTGGGGGCAGCATCCACAGATCATTTTGCTGGAAAGATGTAATTGGATGATCTGTTTACCTTGTTGTCAAGTCACTACCTAATGTAAAGGTTGTCTATTTATTTTACAACTGTAACCACATAGTTTACATCTGTAAATAGCTCATTTAGCAGTGGCACACTTCACAAATTGTGATGGCTAGGAAGAGAGTTGGGTACCTGGAGATAATGAGCATTATTTTACCTGTCACAAGTGTTCCTACGCAGGTGTCAAGACACGTCAGTTATTCCAGTTGTATCCTAGTGAGCAGAAACTGGAGAATTTCTGGAAGTGTAACCTGTGTGTTTGCATTTCTTGTGTTGCTTTTAGTTTTCAGGTAACTTGTAGAGCAAAAGAAAAAAAAAAAAACAGGCACAGGAGAAATAGCAAAGCAGACCCTGTGTGTGGCCAGGTGGTTTAAGCCTGTGAAGTGCAGTCAGTAAAAGTGGTCACTTTTTAGCCAAAATTAACTCAGTCAGGATGGATTTACTCTTATTCTCCCTGGCAGGAATGCTGGATTTGAGTTGCAGCTGGTTTTAGACCCTCTGTGATGTGATGGTAATACTGTGACTTGTTGGTCAAGGTCTAAATAGAGTATTTGAGCCAGGATCTAGGTTTGACACTGAGTTCCAGCTCAAGGCTCCAGGTTTGCCCCTGGTGTGAGCTGACCTTGGCATGGCAGTGTGTGGCTTTCCAGAAAGGCAGATTGCACTCACCCCAGATTACACTCACTTTGAAATAGCCTTTTCACAAAGGAACACAATGTCCTGGAAGTCTTTTGCACATTTTGATGAACAGGAAATCGTTTTTAGGGTAAGGGACCAAAGAAGACTTAAGTTTGGTCAGGAGTTCCTATCAGATGAATTCACCCAAAGCAGGTTTTTATCTATAAAGGGAGAAAGTGTCAGTCTGGTATGTGTGTAAATTTTAATCTTTGCTCTCCACAGAAGTCCACTCAATAGCCATAAAGTTCACGTGCATGGACATGGAAATAACTTCCCTGGCAAAAGCCAGAAAACCCTGAGGATGGTGGAATGGGATCAGGCAGGAGGGTGTTTCTGGAATACCCTCACATGCTGCCCTGTCCTTGGGAGCAGTTGGTATCCATGTGCCAGACAGATTTGAGCCTACAGTGCCCCTGTGCTTTGGTGTGCCCATGTCAGTGCTTGAGGGGGCAGAAGGAGTTTAATTACTGTGGCTTAACTGTACCCAATGCCATGTATAAAGCTCAGTCATTTCATCAGCAGAGACTGTCACTAAACACTGGTTTTTATTCCAGCAGTATCTGTTCCCTTCACATGAAAATGATGGATTTCAATCATAAATACAGTGGCCAGATGCAGGAGTGTATTCATTGCAAGGTACACTCACTGCTAGGAGGACTTGGAAAGTCATTTTTCCCTTGGTAGCTCAGATATGGCAGGGCAAGAACCCTCCCAGATTTGTCATCGTGGAGCATCTTTGCTGTGTCAGATGTCTGTGAGGAGGCTGCTGGAAAGCCAAATCCATCTGCATGGATAGTGCTTTGTTTCTGCATTACAGTTCCTTTCTGAGGAATATTTTTGTTGGATGAAATGGAAGAAACTACTGAATTTGGGATTTAAGTGATTTTACTGATGGTGGCAAATGAGTTAATGGTGTCCTTTTCAATATCTGCCTGGTTAAGGTGACTGCAGATTCCATTTCCTCCTGATTTAACCACCCTTGTTGCTTATTGAATGGAAGAGAGGAAAAAGTATCTTCTTAAACTGTTCAGGGGGAAAAGGATGAAATTATTTTTTATGTACTAAGCTTTTTTTGTTTCCCTTTCAGATCAGTTCTGTCTGGTCAGATAAGTTCTAACAATGAGTCAAGTCATAGCTCTGCCTCCTTTCTAGAAGTCACAGAATAGTTATAGAATAGGCTCCATATGCAGCTCAGTAAGTAAATTAAAAATTCCACCTTTCTGTCTTAATCTGGGTTAATACCAGTTTGTAGCCCCAGGCAGTTTTTATGCAGTGTGGTTTCCTTAAGCTCAGTTTTATTGCTATTGAATTTCCAACACATGCACCTCAATTAAAGATAATTCTGGTTTTAGAGGTTGCTACCAAATAGCACTTACACATCAAAACCTTTTTTTTTTTTTTTTCAGGCTAGGAAGAGCCAAGTTTTAAAATACCATTTTTAATCTCTCAAGGGACATGTGATAGCTTCGTTTGTCTCTCGAGTTCCCCCCATCATTGACTAAATAAACTATTTTGCATTATTCTTTATTGAATGACAAAACACAGATGTAGTTTTTTAATTTTAATATTTTTCCTCTCTAGCAGCAGTGTTGGAAATTTCTGCCTTCAAAGATGCTCAGCACATTTTTCAGCCATTAGACCCAACCAGTCTTCCCACATCTGCTGTAGCTCTTGACTGTGCTGTTTATACATGACCTTGGATAAATCTGCTGCTCAATATCTGGGATTCAAGTGAGGCAAGTTACATGGGAGGGAAGGGATTCAGTGCTGGAAAAGCTGCTGAATTTATCCATTCACCTGTTTGGGCTTTAGCACGAGACTAAAATTTGGTCTCTTGAGACAGATGATGGATGGTTGGTGGATGATCTGAGCACCAATGCACAGGGCTCAGGCCATGATAACTGTCTGTGACAAAATAACATGGGTTTGGGGCAACTGTTGAATGTTTGCTGTATCAAATAATTGTTTTAAATATTCCAGAACTCGCTGTGTGATTTTTTTATTTATTTTTTTTTTAACCCACTGGTGCAGAAAAGCTTTTGTTGGGAACTTGCACAGTTGTCCAGGAGGATGTTCAGTTGAGCTCTCTCTTCGAGGGGAGATTCTTTTCAGGTACCTTTTAACTCTTAAGTATTGTTTTAACACTTCCTGTGTTCTCAACCCTGCTGCAGGATATTTGATGTATGAAGGATGATGTGTGTATTTTATGCACTTTTAATTTGCAGGAAGCCTCGTGCACCTCTGTAGCTCCAAAGCTAGGAAGGGTTTTTCTCTTTTTGTGTAAAGTAAGATCGGCGCTTTTGAAATGTGACACATGGAAACGTCTTTACTCATAAAAGATCTAAAACTTAAACACTAATTGTGACTTCTTTGCCTAAGAGCCTCATTTCTGTGATGATGATTTTATATTTGCAGTGTAGTAAACGCTGAGCTTTTGGTGGTGGTCCTGTGTTAAATGTGCTGTTTGGTGTTTACCCAATTTGCTGATGAACGGCCTGGTTTTGGTGCACATTTGTAACATTACAGGTCAGGTTTTGAAAGCACTGACAAAATCACCTTGTGCAGCCTGGTTCTAGACATCAGACTCATTAGTTTAATTACAGAGTGTAGCAGTTCCCAGCTGTGGATGATGTCACATCCTATTTATTATGTAAATCACACCTGAATTGAATGAGGGAGTGAAAATGCAGGTTGAAATGAGAGCCTTAACTGCAAAAGGGCTGAGTCTGCTTTTTTTTTTACTTGATTAATAATCATATTCATCTATTTGGCCTCTGAAACAGTGAAGAGCTGATAATTTAGACTTTAAATTATTTTACTGTGGCCTTTAAATTATTCCTTTCTGTGATGTCCGAAGGACACTTTTTCTGTCTCCCCCACAATGTCCTCCACCTGCTCCCTTTTCTAGGAGATTTATGGTAAGATTGGGGATGATCAATGAAAAATCAATGGATTATTGAGTATAAACAGCCTCTGGGAGTCGACAGGTTGATTTGGGGACAGCAAAGGAGCTGTTTTGAGTTTGTATTAACAGGAGTTCCACTTGCAGAATTTTCTGTACACTGTGTTGTCCTGTCTGATGATGAGCAGGTTAACATTCCCTCTAGTCCTGGAGATAAATTTCCAGCTTTCCTACTGGATTTTCATTAAATAACATTAAATATTAGGTTTTAAGGTCACGTGTAATTTTAAACCCTTGAGGGGTTCCTATCAGGTGAAGTGGAGGTTTGTATGCAATGGTGTTCAGTAACTTTTAAAGGATTTGGGCAGGGTGATGAGAGGGTTCCCCAGGTTGCTCTGGATGGTATTTTATTTTTTTTATTACACATTCCAAGTGGTTAATGAACCAGAAGGTGGAATTGGGAAGCATTAACGAGTAGTCACAGTTTTTGAAAATGGAAAGTGTTTGCCTGCAGTCGCTTCAGGTTGTGTAACCTGTCACAAAGCAAACAGATGATTCAGGAGATTTTCAGAATCCAGGAAATTTGAATTTCTTACCCAAAGCAAGAAGGCTCGAAGTGCAGGTATTTTAAAGAATATTCAGAATATAATTTTCCCCACTGATGAGCACAAGAGGATGGATAAAATCCCTGGAGAACGGATGAAATTGGTGTAGGAAACACGAGCCACCAAACCTGAACAAATCCCCGGCTCCGTCCCTACCGTCCTCCTGCCGCAGGAGGCCGCCACAGCCCGCGCATTCCCCGCGGATTCCCGCTGGATTTCCATGGAGCTCTGTGCTCCGCACGGCAATTCCCGGCAGCCAGAGGGATGGGGAACCTGCAGTGCAGAGCTGGGTTAAAACCGGAGGCTCGTCCAGCTCTGCAGGTCCGGAGTTTTCTGGGGCTGGTTGAGCTGGACAGTGGGTTTAGGGATGGTGGAATTCCCACTTCTAAACCCTGGAATTTTCCTGCGGGAAGGAATAGGAGTGATCAGCTCACATCTGATGTCTTGGTGATTTTAGGGGACGAGATGAAGGATTGGGGAACAATTACAGGTTGTTGGACCTAAAATAACAACGCTGTGAGTTAGGGAAGAAAAACTACTTCTGTCACTGATGGAAACAGCTGAAGTGCTTGAGGATGTTTCTGAAAAAGTCTGAAATATTCCCAATTTACAAATGAAGAAGAAACCTCATCTGATCCTGTCTATCTTAATGACAAGGCCAGTAGCACCAGCTGCAAATAGAATGTGGGAATGCTCAGAAACTGAGGTTTTGATCAGATTTTAAGCACCATTTGTAATGCAGCACTGAAATGTTGAGGCATCAACCTGATATTCCCCCCCTCTCACTATTGCCATGGCAAAAGTGACCCCCCCAGGCCGTGATGCTTTATCAGTTGGGCTTTTCTGGTCTAAAGGGTAATAAAGGTTTAAAAGGTTTCCCACTGAGCAGGGAAACAGCAGCTGTGCTGCTCAGGCTCCAAAAAAAAAAGTGGGTGTTTGCAAATAGAGAAACTTAAAAATCCTGCTGAGCTGCTCAGTTGAAAGTTACAGGTTAGAACCAAAATTCCGAGTTGTTGTTTTTTTTTTTTTTTTTTTTTAAATGAATAAATTTCTCCCAAGCTCAGCCCAGCAAAAGTTTCGTGGTGCTGCTCAAGCTGT